GTTATGTGACATACATACATTTTAAACAGTTATACCTGTTTGTTTTAAAGGCCCATTAAGACTGAAAAAAATGCAATCACTTTTATCTTTAAAAACTTTCATTTTTTTTTCAAAAAGTTTCTAATTGGCCATATATCTAAGCCATTTTTTTTTTTTGCATTTTGGCAACTAGTACAGTTATGATGAATAAGTTTGTATATGGATGTGCAATAACCATTTTGTTTACATTTTGCGACACTAATCATAATTATTTTCTTTTCATACTCATTTTTGTCAGGGGATAAGAATATCACATGTTGTAAATCTATAATTACAACATAACCAAACACACATTCGCCCTTTTCACAAAAATAAATATCTATACATTTCTTACTCGTATTGTGCCTTTAAACTTTAAATATATATGGAGTAAATTCATCTAGTATATAAAATACATATAATTACATGTAATTGTTTAATTACTAGGTATATGGATGTTTTTGTTTATTTTATGTTTAGGTATGTTATGTCTTATTAACATATGCATCAAACATGTTTGTTTGTGATTTGGAATATAGATTATATCATTCAAGTACATCTGTATACCTTTATGCACATGTATATGATAACAAATTGTCCATATTTATACTTAAGTTAAGTTAAGATAAGTTTAATGTGGAATATGTCAATGGTACATACTTATATATTTTACATGAACAATTAACTTGAAATGTACATTGAAAAGTATCTAGACAAGTAGAAATAATTCTGTTTGTATAAATATAAACTTGTCCGAGAGCACTTATTAATTTGAAATTCTATTCTCTTTATTTATAAGAACTTTGTTTGTTTATTAGAATAAGTTGGTTTTAATGAAGAATGAAGTAAATAAATGATAAAAACTGTTTAATTTGTCATAAGCAAGATGATGAAAACTAGCCAATTAAAACAGTTCTATTCGGTATAACATGTATATTAATTATAACTTTGTTAAAGTGTGTCTTGATTTGTAATTCTATTAATTGATAATTGATAAAGTTATGGAAAACTATATGGGATTTAAATTATAGCAATATACACTTCCTTTCAGCCTTTGATTGACTAAAGATTATTTTTTGTATCACATCCAACAATAAATATAGGTATTTTTTAACTTGTAGACTTTTAAATTTCCTCACTGTGTTTAGAATGAATAGAAACAACAAAAAATAACAACATACTGTTCTATTAGTGCAAATATAGTATGAATGTAAATTGTTTTTGATTAATTGAAAATAGCTTAATATGTTTTTTTAATGGTGGCATGCATATCAGGTTAGAGAAATGTTAACAATATATAACTATTAGATCTTGTCACATAAACTTTAAAGAGCACTGGGTTATGTTATTAATGTAATACAATGTTCTTTTAAATTAGTAAAATGTATTTGTTTGCTTGTTTTGATAGCATGTGTGTGTGACTGTTCGTAATAAAAAATGTACAGAACTCATTTGTGCAATTATTTGTTTTTCCCTCTCCTACAGAACTAAATAAGGGCATATAACTTCTTAAAATTTTACTTTCTGATTTTTTATCTTCAAACATGGTTTTTTGATTTTTCATGACCAGTAGATGACCCCTATTAATTTTGGGGTCAAAGGTCAAGGTTACATTGACCTTTAAGGTAAAACATTTTCTAATCAATAACTTAAAAACTTTTAGGCTTAGAAACTTCGAACGTGGTATGATAATTGTTCATGACCAGAAGATGAGCCCTATTAATTTTTGGGTCAAGGTCACTTTGACCTTTTAGGTAAAAATTGTTTCTGATAAATAACTAAAGAACTTTTAGGCATAGGAACTTCAAACTTAGTATGATGATTGTTCATGACCAGTAGATGACCCAAATTTTTTTGGGATCAAAGGTCAAGGTCACATTGACCTTGTAGGTAAAAAACGGTTTCCGATCAATAACTTAGACCTTTTGCCAAGGCACTTCAAACTTGGTATTGATGATTGTTCATGACCAGTATATGATTCCGATTGATTTTGCAGTCAAGTGGTCAAGGTCACATTGATATTATAGGTAAAATCGTTTTCTGATCAATAACTAAAGAACCAATCAGGCATAGGAACTTCAAACTAGATGATGATTGATGACCAGTGGATGACCCCTGTTGATTTTGGCGTCAAGGGGTCAAAGGTCAAGGTCATATTTAAATTGAAGGTAAAAACGGTTTCTGATTAATAACTAAAAAACGCTTATGCCTAGAAACTGATGATTGCTCATAACTAGTTGATGACCCTTATTGATTTTTGGTCAATTGTAGGTCAAAACTTTCCTGATCAGTAACCTGACAAACTCATTGGCTGTTAGCCCTCAAACTTTCATAGGTGCATTGTACTTTGCTAGTAGATGACTCCTATTGATTTTTGGGTCAAGGGGCCAAGGTCATATTGACTTTGTAGGTAAAAATTGTGTCCGATCAATAACTTGACGAGCCATAGGCTGTTGACCCTCAAACTTTGTAGGTGCATTGGTCTTGGCAAGTAGATGACCGCTACTGATTTTGTGGTCATTGCTATAATGTCATAGTCATATTGTCCTTGTAGCTAAAAACGATTTCTGATCAATAACTTGACAAACCATGGGCCTTTGGTCCTTCAAACTTCGTCTATGGATTGTTCTTGGCGAATATATGACCCCTTTTTACTTTGGAGTCAAAGGTCAAGGTCACCTTATCCTGGTATGTCAAGACGGTTTCCTATTAATAACTGGACAACCGATTGACTCTTGACCTTCAAATTTCAGATGCATTGCTTTATAGATCCACAATGGTATTTTGGGGTCAAGGGGACAGAGGTCAAGATCACATTGACCTTATAGGTAAACACGTTTTACTGATCAATATTTCAACAACTCATTGGTGAATTTGTAACTCCCGAAGACAGCGAAAAACATCATTCCTTTTTTATGTGACCTGAATTGTGTTCGGTGCGCCAAAGTAAAGCATTTTTTTTATTCTATAAGTCGCTTATAATGGGCAAAACTGTATCTAGAGTTACCATGAAGCACAGCAGAACATCCATGTATTCTCATAGAGACTCGTCTGTGAACCTTCAGTCGGAAATAGGTAGGCTTATTGATGAGTCATTGACCGAGAATACCAGCAACATTATATAACACAGTTTTTTTTATGGCAGGCAGATCATTGCAGTTGCCACTAAACGTGAAACAAATAACATAATATATAACTATAGTCTTAATTCATGTCTTTGCAACGATGTGCTTGTGTGCTTGTAAGTTAATAATTAGCTACATATCCTCTATATGTTAAATCACTAAAATTAATGACATGGTTGCTAATTAGAAAACTTATAAGTATTGGTGAAACGTTTGAATGAAGGCTCAAGACAACAGTTGCCACTAAATGTGAAACAAACAACATAATATATATTGAAAACGAAAGTTGGATATTGCCAATATTGGGGAATTATATTAATGCATTTCTTTGCAACGATATGCGTGTTAGACAATAATAAGCTACATACCCTCTATATGTTAAATCACTTAAATCAATCATATGAAACATTGCTAATTTTGAGTCTTATAGGAGTCGATTGCCTTTGACAGTTGAGGCATCAAAATTGCAGCTGCCTTTCATCCCTGCATGATCGTAAGAGGCGACCAATTGGGTTCGCATGACCAGAGTATCTGCATCTCTTAGCTCCAACAGGTGAGGTTGTTTTGATCCCGGGTTTTTCTTTAAGTTTGTAACTCCCGAAGTAAGCACAAATCATATTTTCAGTTTGGCGCCATATGACCTAAGTTGTGTCGTTGTGCTGTAAGGCCAAACAAAAACAGCAACAAAATATGTTAGCACAAAGTTCAGCTCAATTTCTGATTCTATAAGTCACTTATAATAGGCAAGACAGTATCGAGAGTTACCATGAAACACAGCAGAACATCCATGCATTCTCATAGAGACTCGTCTGTGAACCTTCAGTCGGAAATAGATAGGCTTATTGATGAGTCATTGACCGAAAATACCAGCAACATTATATAACACAGCAATTTCTTTCTTCTCAAAGTTTTTTTATGGCAGGCTGATCATTGTTGTTGCCACTAAATGTGAAACAAATAACAGAATATATAATTATAGCCTTAATTTATGCCTTTGCAACGAAATGCTTGTAAGACAATCATTAGCTGCATATCCGCTATTAATATATGTAAAATCACAAAATCAATGACATGAAACCTTGCTAATTAGAAAACTTATAAGTAAAGGTGAAACGTTTGAATGAAGACTCAAGACGAGCCCGGGGTTCTAAGAATACACGTCATTCTAAAACAGACAACTTTTTGAAAATAAATTTCAGCTTTACAAAGTGTTTGTCTCTCTCAGTACAAGAACATGTTATTTGAAGCTGCTTTTTCGCATGCAAACATTACAGTTCTTAGAAAAAGCTAAATGTCACCAGCTAGGCTAATTCCTAACAAAACAAGAGATTTTCATGCGTACTAGCAAATACTTTTGTGTCCTTTTCTCGATATCAGAATAAAATATATAAGATACCATTGCATTTATCTAACTAGTATTATTTACATAGACCAGACCTTCGGAAGTTTTCCATAAAATAACATGTGATAACAGCATCATATAACATAACAGCAGGTAAATTAACAGTTACTTAAAAAGTATGGTGCAAATGAAAACGGTTCCAGTATTTATCGCTCAACGGAAAAAGAATGCGGTGTTTAAATTCAGTGTTGTACGGTGCTCCAATATTCGAGTCAATAGGCCTTTTTTCAACATAAATATTCCCTAAAATTTACAATACAAACACACAATTTTGTATGGAACTTGAATTTATGACTAACCATAATGTATACACAAGCTCGTAGGGTCATAAAACAAATACATTGTTGTTTTAGCACATGTACGAGTCATGTTGAGGTAGACACGATCTTTTGTAAACACTATTTCTTCGAAGTATGTAATTTTTGTGAATTGACTTTGTGTTGTGCTAGATTAACGATAAATTGTTTCAAAAATTCGATGGAGTACTTAAACAATTGAAAAAATTTTGCAATGTCCAGCAGTAAGATATTTTGTAAGCTATTACCTGCAATTTGGTTATCCCGCCATTAATATTTTGTCCAGAAATATACGATGTCTCGGTCAGAAGTATGATATTTTGACGTTGCGCCGAAAAGTTGTGGTAAACGCCCTATCCCCGTGAATTAGATGATAAAAAAATGAAAAAAATGATATATACCTGCTATTATTTTCTCATAATAAAGAAAAGGCACAATATTGCCTCAAATAATCATTCGCAAAGAGTCTCTTAACCCTTTTTTCTAAAGAAAGTGTAGGGAAATATTTAGTGTTGTGAAATCTTTCGATAATTTAGTAGTGTTCGTTTACAATACGCATGCGCTGTAAAATTGGAGTAAATCAATATGGCGGAAAATAGCCCCGGATAATATTTTCTCAAAATTTGAAGAAATTGCGGTAAGTATCTTGAAACGTTTGTGACTAATAAGTAAATTATTTTTTACTTAAATGAAATGTTAACATAACAAGTCAAAAACAATTAACTAGCTTAGGTAAATTACCAATGTTTTATCAATTGAAAACGAAAGTTGGATTTTGGGGAATTTCCGCGTGAGGCTAATAATCTTAAATATCAACACACATTAATTAGACTTTTATTAAGCTCTTCCTTAAATGAATTTATAATATTGATTAATAATTGCAACAGCTAGTCCTATTGTATGGGGTATGATTATTAAAATGTGTGTGTACCCACACGTGCTTGGTTCCCTGTTCCGCTCTTTGTCAATGTATGTGAAACGGAAGCCGGAGAATACTTCCGGTGGGAATTACCTTCTAAAAATATCGTCTACATGTAGGATATTTCTTTAAATACAGGCTCATAGGACTAAGTTCGACTCGTGGAGGATAAAACCATTTAAAAGTATGTAAAATCCAGTTGTTTGCTAGCTTAAGGTCTTCAGCGTACCCGTTTATATATATGACATGACGTGAACGCTGAAGATAACCCCGTAGGGAAAGTCCACCAATAATCGTGCCAGGAATCTGACACACTCGTATTTATTTATCGAACATGCCACGAAGTAAAGTGAAGCATACCTTGATAAAACGATATATAATCTGTTGATAGGCCAAGGATGGACTAATAAAAATCTTATAAGGAACATAAACTACCTATTAGTTTCCGACAGGTAAAAATTTCGGCACTTGGCCGCCATATTGCCAAAATGTTTGACCACGTGATTACGAGATTGACCTTTATGAACCCATGTGCCTCCAATATTTTTATAGATTACTTTTTTTTAAGATGTTGAAAAAGGTTATTTACTGACTGTTATATTCAATAAAATCATATTTAAATACTTAAAAATTTATGAAAATAAATGAAAACATTATCTTGAATAAAAATATCGAAATCATGTCAACAAAATGTTCTAAATATAGTACACAACTCTATTAAAATCTGTTCCCGCGAATGACGTCATACGAGGTCTCGCGTGGCACTTGAATGTCATGGCCGACTGAAGTCGGCGAAAATTGATGTTTTACAGTTAAATAGGCAATTTTAATGACGGTATTAATATTTTATTACTTGAATTGGTATAGAACGATATTCAAATAATTGTTTTACCGTAAAATGCACAAGAATTGATCGGGTCAAGTGTATTTGCAAGTGAAAAACAAGAATAAATCAACTTATGTTATTCTGGTTAGGTTTCGTAACGGGTCTAATCCAAAACTTTAATGCCGCATCTGATGAAAAACAAAAATGTTAAAAAGCGGCTTTTAAAGTTTTGGAAGCCAGAACTAGTTGTTTGCATGTGTGTTCGACCCGTTTGATCTCTTTGTTGATGTATTTCAAGCGTAAATACCAGCTTACAATGTACGTCATGACGGTCTCATCTTTCGGACCTGGGTGATTTCTTACTTTCGGGCTTTATAACATTAACTAGCGGTTAATTGGGGATCTGTAAATAGTAAATTGTAATAGAAAAATATATTGTGCATTGATTCCATGCAAAAATCCGACGATATTACCGCCCGGTGAAAAATTTTAACACAGATAACCGGCGTACCCATAATTTTCGTACCTGAATGTTGCATACCTTGTCAATAATAATATAACAGTGAAATTTTTTTTTTTTTTTTTTTTTTAATATATTGATATTTTATTGTATAAATAACAAGGTCAAACACATTTTAGGTCAAATCAATGCAACTAGCACCTGTGTGTGTACCGAAAACGAAAGTAGAAAATGGCAAATTATCTCCCCTTTGTTTTTACATTTTATTGAAAAATATAAGCAAATAATAATAAGAAAATAAAGGGGAAATATACCCCTCTTAATAAACACATATCAAATCAAATCAAACTTTATTGAGTTATAGACCACCGGCCCATACACATATAAAGATTTATAATACAAAATATACATCTGTGGATGCTACATATCAGACATGGTAAAGACATAATAGAAATATATAGAACAAAATGTCAACAATTATCGTAGAAATAGAATTAGTACTAATTATCTAAACATAGATATATGAATAATCATGTTCTTTAAGCGCTACATTTATCAAAGAAAAGTATAATTACTAATTATAAATGCGATAAATGTGGTGAGTCGTTGGAACAAATCTTCGGGTCTCTCTGTAGGATCATATCGGATAGAATCAAAGTCAATAAAATGGCCACCAGTAATTTGGAAACCATAGTGGAGGCGGATTGTTTGCCAAATATCACCAACGGAGGTAGAGTTTTTAACAATAGTGTTTCTGGATATTACTGGACAAAAATTTGCTATCTGTCCTAACATCAACTCAAGAATGTTGACCTTTTGCTCACAGGTTTTCCTGTCAGCTTCGGCTACATCCTCACCGTCATTCACAAAGCCTCTGTGAGGTGCAGTTTTGGTCTTTTTCTGCCATTTAAGCCCAGCCACGAGAAAGGGAGCAAAGTTCTTGTCTAAAGAAAGGCTGTAGATTAAGTTTTGTCTCCAGTTTTCAAATGAGTTTACAGTTTCATGTTTGGTAGGCGCCATTGTTTTGGCGCGCGGGTAGAATTTGCCATTGTCAATGTTTTTGTTTAATACACTTGCGTTCACGGTAATAATTCTATTACGAGATGATGTACACAGGTCTTTATCAAGAGTGGGACGTAAATTCGCTGCCACCACGCCAGTAAAATGGATATAGATCAACACACAAGAGTATAATCAAATACGTGATTTAATATGAACAAATAGCGTAGAACAGAGAAAGGGAGAGAAATACATCATTTAGTCCGAAACAGGCAAAGTTCCGAATGTATGTAAATACACAGTCTGGCGTAAACATAGACAAAAATTGATCACGTTCTCTAAGCGCTATATATAGAAAAGTTGCTAATTTCTTAATTGTATCAATATCTAGAGTTGACATCAGATTATAATTTTTTATATATGAAGGATATTTCCAGAAATAATCACTGATGTAGGTATGTCACATATAATAACAACTTGGTTCAAATATTAGGCCAGCAGGGCATTTTTTGTCAAAATTGTAAAGGGGCCTGGACCGTTTATTTTGTGATAAAAAGAACGATATTAGAAAAAAACGAAAAAAACAATATATAACCAGGTATGACATAATACCGGATATGTCTCACATCCGCAGATATGACTTTTAATACCGGATATGACAGTGACCAGAGATCTGCCAAGAATTTGAAAGTACTGGGCCCTGGGCCCACTTGGTCTGAAAATGATGGGCCATTTTTACCAAAGTATGGGCCTTGGGAAAATAAGTAAACATTGACCAAAATAACTGTTAAAAAGTTTGTAGATACATGTAATTGAATTTCCCTGGTAATAAAACTTAAATCATATTTTATGACAAGTGGTTCACTTATAATTCAGTACTTTACCAATAATTAAAAATTATGCCTACATGGTAACTTTCTAACTAATATTAATTGCAGGCAAAAATGAAAATATTTTTTTAATGGCTGCTCAAAAATTTGATATGCAAATTTATTCACATAATTGCTGGTTCTTACTTGTAATGTCTTATATTGTGCATTATCCATTTAATTGTTCCTACTTTGCACAAAATGTCCCTTACCAATGTATATTGACGAATTTTATTGCCCCTTGTATGCCTCTGTGTAGACAGCATACATCAAAGACATTTGCCGACAGACCTTTTGATCATGAAAAAAGTCATGCACAATGTTTCTCTGATTGGTTAATCACCCTGTCAAACATTCTGATGACGAAATATACATCTTTTTTTTACACTTCATCAGCCAAAACTTGCGTGAACTTGAGTGACCTTAGGGTTGATCAAGTTGAACACCTGTCAGATTATACTGTAACTTACAGCATTTCTTAAAATAGCAACACTTTTTTTTCAGTTACCGATAATCATTTTAAATATTAAGTAGTTGTATAATTTGTTTGTTTGTTTTATTGGATTAAATTTACGGTAGTAGAAATGAGTATCTGTGTGGGAAAGGGATTATGAGAAGAAATGCGGTAAGTAGATAACATGGACAAAAGCTATAGGGGAATGGATAAACTAAAGAATATGCGTAATTACAGGAGCATGGGTAACATGTTGCTGTTGGTACCAGTTTTGACTGGATGACTTAATAACCCAGCAGACAGTTTTGTTATGCCCCCGCCATGTAATGGCTGGGGCATATAGTGTTACCCTGTTCCGTCCTTCCGTCATTCCGTCCTTCCGTCATTCCGTCCTTCCGTCATTCTGTCATTCCGTCATCATCAGTTTCCGTTCATTATCTTAGTAACGGTTGCACACATTCAACTCAAATTTGACATATGGATATGTCGTGAGAAAATACAGGTCAAGTTCGAATTTGGTCATGGTTCGATGATTTTTGGCAGAGTTATGCCCCTTTTACTTTAAAATAATATGAAATTTTCAGTTTCCGTTCATTATCTCGCCAATGGTACAACACATTCAACTCAAACTTGACATATGGATATGTCATGAGAAAATACAGGTCAAGTTCGAATTTGGTCATGGTTCGATGATTTTTGGCAGAGTTATGCCCCTTTTACTTTGAAAATAATATGAAATTTTCAGTTTCCGTTCATTATCTCCCCAACAGTACAACACATTCAACTCAAATTTGACATATGGATATATCGTGAGAAAATACAGGTCAAGTTCGAATTTGGTCATGGTTCAATGATTTTTGTCAGAGTTATGCCCCTTTCACTTTGAAAATAATATGAAATTTCAGTTTCCGGTCATTATCTCCCCAATGGTACAACACTTTTAACTCAAACTTGACATATGGATACGTCACAGGAATGCGCAGGTCAAGTTCAAAGTTGGTCATGGTTCAATGATTTTTGGCAGAGTTATGCCCCTTTCACTTTGAAAATAATATGAAATTTTCAGTTTCTGTTTATTATCTCCCCAACGGTACAACACATTCAACTCAAATTTGACATATGGATATATTTTTGAAATGCCCAGGCCAAGTTGGAATTTGGTCATGGTTCAATGATTTTTGGCAGAGTAATGCCCCTTTTACTTTGAAAATAATATGAAATTTACAGTTTCTGTTCATTATCTACCCAACTACTCAAAATTGACATATGGATATGTCAAAGGAATGGGGAGGTCAAGTTTGAATTTGGTCATGGTTCGATGACTTTTTTGCAGAGTTATGTCCCTTTCACTTTGAAAATAATATAGATACATCTTAGGAATAAGCAGTTTAAGTTTGAATTTGGTCGTGGTTCAATGATTTTGGACAAACTTATCTTTCTTGAATGTTGGAAAAATTTTGAACTTTCAGTTTCAGCACTGAAATGAATGTAGCCATTATTTTGGCTACAAATATGAAATATGCTATTTTCAAAAGGTTTAGACAGAATAATTTCAGTGCCTTGAACATTGTATGAA